TTTTGAGGGGGGCACCTTTTGTTTTGAGGGGGCACCTTTTGTTTTGAGGGGGCACCTTTTGTTTTGAGGGGGCACCTTTTGTTTTGAGGGGGCACCTTTTGTTTTGAGGGGGGCACCTTTTGTTTTGAGGGGGCACCTTTTGTTTTGAGGGGGCACCTAAGGTAAATGTGTTTACAAAAACCATGCTCAGAGATGAAGTCAGAGCCCAAAGCAGACCGTCCTTCAGCTCGTGTTGGATGAAAAGGTACGGTGTTTCTGAGAGTCTGAGGAAGTCGAGCTGAAGGAGATAACGGTGCAGTTGGTGCTCAGGCAAACAGAGCTGGGTGAAAACAACAACAAAAAACAAAAACAAAACAAAAAACAGGTTTGTCTTGAGGTTTATCCAAACCAGCCGAGGTGTAAAGGTTCTGCTCCGTGTTCTCGACCTGAAGCACACTTCATCACAGAAATACTGCGTGACTTGATAGTTAAAGTTTTTAGGTTTCACACAAACTTCAAAGCGAGCAGCGACACTCCTGAGGTGCCTGAAACACTGGATTTGTTTCCACGTACATGAACTACCACAGCTGCAGAGAATATCTACACCGACAGAGGCGCCACTGTTACAGCTTTTAATCATCGAAGATCGATCAAGTGTGACGAGACACGAAGCAGAAAACAAACAACAACAAATCAAACATCTTCTCCTGCCTTGGACCACCAAGCTCTTCAYCAGTCTACATTCTGGACTCTCAGTGCAGCAGGTACACGCTGAACAAATGAACGCTGAAGTGAAGTAAAAAAAGATGGAAGAAACAACCCTGCTCTCCTGTTTCACCTCTCTGCCATAGAAACCACCCAGCTTCACCACACACACATTTACACACACTCACATGCTCTGAGCTTTCACCTCCAACATCACATTTTACCCACATAAACTCTAACTATTCACAGCAGCTGGACTTTCATAAGTCATGACTTGTCATGATTGACAGCTGAGGTGTGTGTGTGTGTGTGTGTGTGTGAACATTACACACACACACACACACACACACACACGGTTTGATTTGACTTTTAGGATCCAAGCCACTCTGCTCTTTTAAATACAACGAGCTCCTTTCAGAATAAAAGCAGGCAAACTGTGGCCTGTTGGTGGAAATGTTTACAGAATAAAAGAGGAACTCCACATCATCACACTTTACCTTCGAGGAATAATAAGGATTAAAAATAAAATCTTGTTTTCATTTTAAAACACGTGTCTATATTTCCCTCCATAGATCAGCCTCCCTGCTCAGTTAGCCCCGCCCCCCCCCCGCTCGCCCCTCTGGCACCAGGATTTTACTCTTCATCCCCACAAACTGTCTCTAACCAGCATGTTAGCAGAAACCCGACAGAACCTGACCAGTTCAGTAAAACTCCTCTGAGCAGCTGGACACCAGGCAGAGCTGCAGAAACTATCAGCAGAAGAGAAACCAGGAAGAGGAACTCAAAGACCTGGAGCRCTCTGAGCTGCTGTGACAAGGACCAACAATCAGCATCGTCTGCCTCCTTCTTCTGAACTCACATTTCTTCCCTGTTCTACAACACACAGACCACTCGTTTGGTTTTGCACACAAGTCATCGCTGCAGGTGTTTCAGCGGTGTGAGGGGGTCCGGTCAGCGGTGTGAGGGGGTCCGGTCACTGCGAGCTGGCCCACAGCTCCATCACAGCAGAGCAGCAGTGAACTGGACTGGTTGGTTGTTGCCTCTCTGTTCGCTCATCCGACGCTTGACAAAACATCCTGGTAGGTTCTGAGATCCAGTGTTAGCGAAGTGGGGAAAGGTGGGGGAGGGGGGGTTACGATAAGGAGGAGGAGTTGAAGGAGGAAGAGGAGGGCAGAGCCTGGACCTCTACCAGCTGAGCAGGTTGCTTCGACCCAAAGTCATGAAGTAAACCTGGCTGGAGCCTCCGGGCCGAACGGAGGCAAAAAACACCTGCAGAGAAGACAGAAACAAGTTGTTTTATTCTTAAAATTACTGACAAATAAAATAAAAATTATATTAACAATAAGAGAAATTGATAAAAAGCTTCTGCATCATTTATCGTATGAGCCATCAAAAGATAAATGTGACAGAAAACATCTCAACATCTGAGAAGTGCGTCTCTGCAGCCACTATAGGGATTTCTTATTTACTGGGAGGAGTCAGCTCATGACATCATTGCTCAGACTGACAGGAGGAGGAGTCAGCTCATGACATCACTGGTCAGAATGACAGGAGGAGGAGTCAGCTCATGACATCATTGGTCAGAATGACAGGAGGAGTCAGCTCATGACATCACTGGTCAGACTGACAGGAGGAGGAGTCAGCTCATGACATCATTGGTCAGATTGACAGGAGGAGGAGTCAACTTATGACATCATTGGTCAGATTGACAGGAGGAGGAGTCAACTTATGACATCATTGGTCAGATTGATAGGAGGAGGAGTCAACTCATGACATC